GGCACTAGGCTCCGAAGACCCACCCAGAGTGGGGACCTCCAACCCACTGAGATCAAGAGGCAAAGGAAGGCACCATGGCCCTGAAGGGATCACACATTTGCCGCTGAAGCTGGGGGCTTCCCTGCCTAGCGCTTTTAGCCACCTCCTAAAGTGAGTTTTAGCAGCACAGCAATGCTCGTCCCAGCCCCATCGGTCTTTCCTGTGCACACCACTGACCTGTGGAGCCCTGCTGCGTCCTCTGGACCCCTCGCCCACTCATCTGTGGCTAAATCTGCCTCTCAGGAGCAGTAAATCCTTATATTATATTCAGAGTCAGTGGAAGAAAGGGATCAGAACATCAGATCTTAAACTCCAATGCCTTGGCTTTTCCCCACTGCATCAGCCCCACCACCAAAAATAACCCCAGGACCCAGCACGCCAGTTACAGCTGAGTCACTTGGGAACTGCGCACCACTCCACTGAAACCTGCTTTAAGCAACAGGAGTTAAAAATATTACCATTGGGAAGATTTTTTTTTTTTTAAATACAACCAAAATGCTTAAAATAGCTTGAGCAGCACAGCCTTAACGTGACATCAACAGAGCTCTGGTAGCATCAGTAGAGCTGCATGGACTTATCACAGCTGAGAAGCTTGGGAGCCAGTCCTCCATCTTATATAAAGAGCGCCCCGGGGATGGACAGGGCTCTCAGGAGACACGCGGGCTCCAGCTAGCTTCCCGTACGGCGCCCCCTCTCTCCAAGTAAAGCAGGGAGCTGAATGCCAGCAAAAGAGCAGAGCAGTTCTAGTCTGCGTAAACTGGCCAGGATTGAATTTAGGCTGGAAAGTGAAGAAAGTTTCTTACCCTCCGGGCAAGGAGGTTCTGGAATCTCCTCCCAGGAGGAACCATGTGCCAAGAAGGGCACTCATTTTAAAGACAGAGCTCATTATAACTCCAAGCCAGAGATGAGGTGGGTACACTACACTAGCAGATGCCCAGGCTCAGGAGGCCCCTTCCAGCCCTACATCTCTATGACTTCAGAGACAGCTATGGGCAGAGAGGTACAATAAGGTCAGCCTCCCTCCTTCCCAATCTCTGGTTTGGCCAGGGCCCAGTTTCCTTTCTATAAAGTGAGCTGTGCATAGCTGAGGCTTCCAAATTAAATTCCCCCTTCACCCACTTGGTTTATTAATGGGCTTACAGCTCCACTCAGAATAAGCCTCTAAACCCAACCACCAACCCAACCTAAATGCTTCTGGAGGTACCCAGAGGCCTGCTCGATACAGTCCCTCCAGGCAGTCGCATGACCTCTACTCACCTGATCCCCCATCACATCCTGCGTCTGAGAAGGACATTTTCCAGAATCCCCTGCTTTAAGAGTGCAGTCTCTGCAACAAGTTCCTTGGGTCTTGCAACAAGTTTCTTGGGTCTTGCATAGGACCAAAGAACAGGTCTCCTAGTACTGAGGAAGAGCAAACACGGGCCTGGATCCTGAAGGTGGTTTGGCATTGAAACAGGCAGCACTGCTCAAAGGGCACAGCCCACCTGGGTACAGGGCTGGCATTAAGCCACCTGCAAAGAGCTGAGGGTCAGGGACCAGGTCTTAAATCAGGCACCGCTTCTTCTCTGACACCCCCATACCATTTTGCAGCTTCTGAAGTTAAGCTCCCAGCTGTTCTTAGTCGTATGTCTGTAGTAAGTATGAGTAATCCAGCCCTATCATGGTTTGAATAGAAACAGAAGAATTAGTACACTTGATGTAAGAACCATTCGTGACTCGTTAGAAAAAAGAATCAGCCATTCTGGGTCCCTTCGAATGCCAGGGCCCAGGGCCAAACTCTGCATCTGTCCCTGGGGACATCTCAACTGAGCCTGCTACTTAGGAACAAAGAAGAGGGCCACCACAGAGGGGTGAATTTCACTGCATTTGCATATAGTTGCTCCCAGGCAAAAGTGCCAGGTGCAGTCATGGGTGTTCTGGGGCAAGTGCTCCTCCAGACCACACCAGGGGCTGCTACTGTGAAACATGGGGCATCTGCTCCACACATGTAAGAAGGGTGCACAGGAGGACTGGCAGGGGGCACGGGTCAACAGGCACACCCAGGACAGCGCACTGATGCAACAGCATTGCTCTCAGGCAGCCACATCATCCCCACTCCAGGGCTTTGCGTGTGAGGAGCAAGCAAGCTGCTTTTTAGACATACCCCTACATCCTGACCTCTTGGCAGACGCAGATCCCACCTGTCAGGGGCCAGAGCCCCACACCCGGGAGGTGGGACACCATGTCCCCTAGCACATCCCACAGGAACTCACCACTTCCCCTGCACGTGCAGCTCTGAGAGCAGGGGGGCAGCGGCTCTGTCCCATCCATGCTGACAGACTGTTTCAGAGCAGAACGGACAGACTGTTTCAGAGCCGAACGTGCTTCTTCCAGCACATGCACAAGCCCCCTGAAAACCAGAGCTTAAAATGGAAGTGCTGAGCCAGCTGGCAGTGTCACTGCGCATTCAGCAGGGCCGTGAGCTGCAAAGCGCAAGAGCCCCTGGACTGGACGAAGAGTCGGTCGGGCCCTGCTCTATGTGGCTTGTGTCGAGAGTTTGATCTCAAGTCCCTTGCTCCACTTGCTGTCTGAGTGAGTGCTGACTCCTTGATGGCTCCTGGGCACAGCTCGCTTGTGCAGACGTTTCTGCCCCAACCTGTTCCCGTACGAGGCCATCGCAGAACAATCCACCTGTGGATTTTTAAAAAAGATACCGTCACTGGTGCGGAGAGGGTCAGTTGAATCACATTAGCAACTTTCCCTCCCCTTACCAGGTTTCCAGCATATCGTATTAGTCATCAGCCCACTAATAGACTTTCTCACCCAACACTCACCGTATCAGGCGGCAGCAATTGTCTGTTGTGTCTTATTAACCTCATAGAAGGATGCAACTCGGGTAATAGCACGCCCTGGCCTTATCTTGTCAATTACTTTTCTAACAAAACCGTCTCCAAGTTTCCCTTT